GAAAGCAACAGCACTTGGTGATGGTAATGATGATGTGAAGGTGGTGGATGAGGTGGTAGAGGACTTTTTTTATTTTTTTATTTCAAGTAAATACAAAGGGGGAATAGTAATCCAGGTAACTATATATATAGTGGAATTATGATTCCCTCCATTTTGAATGAGTGACCATTCCCTTTCATTGTGACTGCAAAGAAAACTTTCAGCTCATTCTACCTTGTTTGACACCAACAAAACAAAAGTGATCTTAAACTGATGGTTTATTCACTCATAAGAATCAAGCATGTTCAAAGAGCTCAAGTAATACTTCAGGATTTTGTTGAAGATCCGCAGCATCAATAACAGGTGGTGACTTTCCAATCTCACGAAGCTCATTGTATATACACACCAGCTCTGCTAAACCCAACTCATAGAAAGATGGAGGGACAACCTTGTCAAAGGATGGCTGGACACACAATTAGATGGAACAGACAAGAATAATCAGCAAGTAATCAGAGAAATAGATAACCACAAAAATATCACAATGACTACTAATGTTAGCTGAACCTTTTAAGCATTACTTAAACATGAAGATTACAGGCTTTTCACAAGCCAACCTTTTTTGATGTAGGTAGATGATAGATTCATATGTTTTTGGACCAATTCTACATGTGCATATGAGAAACAATATGCTGAAATGACTTGTTGATTTAATGACAAATAAGTAATAGATGAAAGACATTTTACCAATATGTCAAGAGGATTTCTTATCAGAATGAAGTGCTTTCCTTTCTTCATTAGATCATCACTCAAACCTTGTATCCGCTGCTTTGATATATGCTGAAAACAAAAAAGTAATAAATAATGAAGCCAGCGGAATAACAAACTTGGTTTTGATAACACATTACAAAAGTTAGAGATATAAACTAACTAGTAAAGGTTCTGTTTTTTTTTGGAACGGTGCACTCTGTTTCCTTTTCCCTCCTAATGGACCCCAGTGAGTATCACATTGGGCCCACCCCTGGACCAAAAAGAATTCCTAGCCAGCTAAACTCCTAGCATTGTTTGAACATAATAGCATTAGATGTTGAATTTTTTGTGACAATTGAAACCCTTTTCCTCAGTTCCTTTGATTTACAACGGTACTACTGCTACACAAAATTGGCATGAGAAAAGAGGAATATAAACTTCTTTCACGTATATAATAAATCAACGGTATAAGATCTCCTGTTACTAAAATAAACAGTCATAATGTTCCTCTTTACACATATACATTTTGTGAGAAAATGCTCATCTCCTGTATCTATAGACTATAATAGTTCCTCATTAATTGAATATCTAGAAAGAGATGTTTTTTACCTTACAGAATCTATATTTCTTCCTTCCTGGACCAAAAATTATGTCATTGGTGACCTTATTTCCATCAGATTCCTGTTACATTTCAAACACCAACAATCTTCAACATGAAGCATAGGAAGAGAATACTACAAGAGACAAGGACATAGGAATGTAATAAATGATAAGTGTGGAAAAAAGCAAATGAATTTTAGAGTTCAATGTGTAGAATTTTTTAAAGACAAAATCTTCAAAATTCTCTGGCAAAAAGAACAAACCAGCCAAATTATTAAAGGCAATTGAATTTTATTAAGAAAATGACGAAATAGTAAATCATACAGGATCATGTAGTTACATTCTAACATCATGAAGCAGAACAAACAGCACCACCTATACTTTTCATATTTCTCTTATACAAGAACAGTATACCTGAACTGAATAGAAGAGAAATGGCACTGCTTAGATGTTCTCAGTCTAGATCAGAGTAGCCTATTTTGTTCAGAATTCACTCATTCTACATCAAATTCCCCACATTTAGCAACCCCCCCCCAAAAAAAAAAAAAAAAAAACACAAACAAAGAAAGGAAGTTTATCTGCACAATAGCTAATCAGATTAAAAGGACCAAGATGAAAGAACAGTGATTGAGTGAACAGATATAACTCATATAAGCCAAACTTGGAAAAATGCTGTTTCATAGCACACGCACAAGACAATTAGAGGAAACACTGAAGGAGGGAGTTTGTTAAAGACATACCATTTTGGAGAGTAGCTCTTCCCTGTAGGGTCTGTCAAGACCTGTTACTCGAAGGAAATTTCCATAAAGGGGTTCATCAACCACTTCTATGTCATCCCTCTATGCAACACGAAGCCAAAAAAAGCATGGAAACACCAATATCACAAACATGACTTTTCCAGTAAGCTTCAATAGCAGTGCTCAATCAATCATTACTATATCAACAGAAGACCACATACCCATTGGTTGAACAGACCAACAAACAATTTTCAAATAATGAAAAAAAAAGAAATTTTTAATTATTATTTAAAAAAAAAAAGTCAATATGTAATTATGAGTTTGTTTCCACAAATGACATGGGCATGAAAAGGTAGGAATTTGAGAATTAATAAAGAGATTTTTTTTTTTCATATTATTTAATTTTACAAAAATGGGTATCCCCAGAAACTTAAAAAATAAGAAAATCTGGGGCTTGGGTACCTGAGCAAAAGAATACATGAGACTAGTGCTGAGGGATCTTGGAGCAGACCATGAGTGAATCACCTCCACTTCACTCTCTCCCATTTCTGAGTTCAGATAAGCTAAGCTATCTCTGATTTTATCAATACAATAATAATGATGGAGTTGGATTGCTACGTATCTTTGTGGGATTGCCAATGCCCCGAGTCACAGTGAAACAGAATACAAAAAGATCTTCCAAACAGGAACCAACGAATGCCAGGATTCTCAAATTTTGTTCTATATTGTTAACAAAAAGCCAACAGAAACATGATAAAATTACGGACGTATGGTCTGGTAATTAATTTAAAGTTATTTTGATGAGATTGACACGTGATGCATTCATTTCTTTTATTTTCTACCACCATATTAGAATGAGAGTTTTACTAATAACTAATAAGTGTACTTAAGACATCGATTAAAATAATTAATAGATAATATTTTTTATTAAAAATAATGTTCAAATATATTAAAATATATAAAAGTGATTATACTTTTATATTTTTTAAATATTTTTTAGTTAGTGTTTTTAAAACACTTACATTTTTCTTCAGGGTATGAAATTTGAGAATATTAAAAATAGTTGTTATTATTATTATTAGACCTTCCTTCCCTAATATGAAAATGCAATCCGAAGAGTTTTACTGTGTATTCCCTATCACACGTCGTGAACCATAGTTTCTTGACAACTGTGACAGAGAATCGAATGCATTAGCGAATGATTATTGTATCAGAATGTTGACAAAACAACTTCCATTCTCTGGTCCTTACCTTACACTCTTGTGCGTTACCATCAAAACATAAGGCATAATCAATTTATTTACGTGCCAATCTTTTCATAATATATAGACATACTTGTTTGTGTAACAACGCAAATGGAGCTTACGCACAAATGTTTTATAAAATCATGAAAATTTTGATTTGATCAGAACGGCATTGCTATTTAAGCAAATTGGTCCTACATCCATCTTTAAACTTGATTTCGATTTTATACAATATATACGCAATCTACGTGTTTCCATTAATAAAGTCACAACTCTATAAAATTATGTTTAATATCCGTTCAAACCAAATATGTATACTAATGGTAATCTTTTAAGTTATCCTTGGAAAGTTTGTTTTTCGAAATTTTTACCTTAATAAGAACCACACGCCAAACCTTATCTTTCTACGTAGCTAATAATGAAATCCAACAATGAAATTTCTTTATTATAATATTTGGTGAAGAAAGGAAAAAGGTTACTTTTAAAAAAGTTACTACATTTCAATAATCATAATTGTACGCGTGTTATCTAGTATGTGCGTCCAATTATCATCCCCTAAACTTGTTTCCCACATTCTTTGTACCTTTTATGAAGAACTATCATTCAGGTTTCGATTTATTCAAATAAGAAAAATTATTAGCTGTTGTAAGTATTCAAATTTAATACTTGTGGTTAATAGATTTTGACTTGTATATTATATATATGTTTAAATACCATAATTCTTTAAATAATTTTTTAAAAAACTAATACATCTTATAAGCTGTTTAATATTTATAAAGTGTCAAGTGTGCGCATTATGACTTTAGATTAGAGGGGTTATGATTTGTTTCATTAATTTGATCCAGTTTAAAATACTTTTTGATAGTTTTAATTTGGTCTAATGCTATATATTCTTTTAAAATTTATACTTTTTTTTTTAATCATTTTATGTTAGTGATAAGAATTTTTAACTTTAAAATATAATTTTACATAATATACGTTATATTTATATTTTTTGTTTTGAGATATATAAACAAAAATACAACTTAGTTTTTAATTTCATACTTATTTTGAGATGTAACCTTTCTCATAATGGAATCTAGCTTAAGAAAGTTGTAAAATAAGATCAGAGTTTTGGCTTGCAACTCCAAAGTAAATGCATTGGTCTTCGTATGAAATTTTTGTGTACTCTTCCTACCGACATTTATTTCAGAGGATTATGTAATGAATTTAAGTTATACTTTGGTTAGTTTCAATTCAGTGTCTAATGTTATGTATTTTTTTTAAATAATTATATGTTAATAATAAGACTTCTTATTCTAATTGATGATATTTTACATAATATAATACTATTTATGTTATATATTATTTGTTTTGAGATGTATGCATAAATACACCTTAATTTTAATTTATACTTCTTTAATTTTGTTAATTAGTTATACACTGTTAAGATTGATATATTATATCAATTAAATCAAATAAACTCAATTTTGTGTCATATATTATCAAATCTTGGTTAGATTGTGTTTAGGCTTAAATAAATGACCCCAAAAAATGTAAGTCGAGTAAAGGCAAAGATAACACAGCGATTTAGTCAAATGTCACCCATTCCTTTTGGTCTTCTCTGGTTAGGCACAGAAGTATAAGCCCAACTCAAATAATTTAGAACAAGTTTTGAGAGCCTGAATGTCAAACTTCACAAGGATACCATGGGGCGGAACTTGGTGCACTAATTGAATATAAGGAGTACAAGAAATGCCTACCTTATAATTTATTATAGTCTTCATTAATAACAAAAAAGGAAACACCAAAACCATGGAAAGACAATCTTTCCCATACATAGGTCAAGAACAGAACCAAGTATAATTTAAAATTATTAGTTTCTAACCTTAGCAAGTATCTGAATAATATTTACCCTTAGACCTATATATTTCTCTATCACTACACATTGTCTCAGGACCTTCCAAGTAACACAGGAATTGATAACATGTGAAAGACAAGGGATCATATTACACTAGTCTGATTGTATATTACTGCAAGTGATACGCAGTAGTTTTACACTGGCTTGATTGTATGATTGCATGTAGCTGAGGAGATTTACTGGCTTCAATGAATCAGTCAGGTCCACAATATCAAGTTTAGCCTGTTCCCCAAGAGAGAGAAAATATTTGAATGTTTCGATATTCCGGATAACATACGCAATATAAGCCATTGGTGCTTCCTTTGACCGGCTACTATTTTCATCATTATAATTTGCCTTGCATCTATCATAACATCTGTCAACTGCATCAGTATGATTATGTTCACCATTTTCATGTTTAATCTTTGGAGAGAGGCCCTTGCAACTTGTGCTGTGTCTGCCAAAATCCAAACTCATCTGATTCAAAAGAATGGCAAGTACCCGAACAAGATGTGGCAGGCAAACTGGGTCATATATCACATCTGCACCCAAACTGAAATAATGATAAAATAAGAATGGCACCTGAATTTTGAACAAATTTAAAGGAATAGTATAAGCAATAACTTAATGTCCCAGAGATTAAAATAAAAGCTTAAGTTAAACTCACACAACATCTGGCATGATATCTCGAAGTTGACTTTCTGATGCAGATTCCCATGGCAGATACAAACATTTAAGTTTCAGTGCATCATGCAGAACCTTGACATATAAAATTGAGGTTATGTTCTCCTTTTTTCAGAGGGTTCAGATCCCATCTACATCAGTCAATGTTAACTTTATAAACATTTATAACACAGTCTAGTCTGTGATCAAATGGCAAAATAAATTTTTAAGAAAATTTAAAGATTAATCTTCCGTGAACAAAATCCACAATCACATACTGATATTGGATATTGGAATATAAGATAAGGGGGTGGGGTAATATTGTTGGAGCATAAAAATACTCAGACAAGTCCAGATTTAAAATACTGGAAAATTGGAAATTATAATTTATAACTATAAAAAAGCTTAGTATCATATGCAAAACCTGAGAGATTAATGCCATGAGGCTTACATTTTCTATATACCTACATATAAAGTAAAATCCCATACACAGTGTATGCAAATTCAGACTCACCATGCTTGGATCTTCGTTTCTTTGCAGCATGTCAGTTTCAACATTCAGGTGGTTCAACTCTAAATTAAACTTCATGTTAGCTAAAGTTGATAGGTCCCCATCACTTAAAATCACCTGTTGATAGATAATAACAAAACTCCTTGTTGACTAAATTCAACTTCAATAATATCAGCTAACGTTTGCTAGTTTAAATTTCACTCTTTTCTAACTAAAACATCATACTTTAAGAGCAGAAATGCCTTCATTTAAAATGCTCATGCATGAGTCATCAAGTACTATACCTTGGAAGCTTTCACATGCGCTAGACATAATCCAACTAAGCCAACTCCTGAACCAATCTATTTCAAAATTTCAGTAAGTGCGACAACGTATAATAAGAACAGCTGAAAGCTAATTTTGATGCAACAAATGAGATGAAAAAAATTTATAAACAGAAAGCAAAAACTCCAAACATTGTAAGGTTCACAACTATCTGTCAGAGCTTTTCTGGTAAGTAGAGATAATCACATAATCGTCACATGCAAGCACTATTCATCATTGGTTAGTATTAAAATTACTACTACATTCAACAAACTCTGCAATATATAACTAACCTCAAAGCATGATTTATTAGAAAATAATTGTGGACGAGAAAGTATTAACTCAGATAGAAACAGACTCGATGGCCATATTGAGCACCTGCACAACCAAACTGATATCAACTTTAATAATACAGGTTCTACAAACAGGCTATCCATACACATGGCACATACATATTGAGATAAAAATTTAGAAGCTTTAGACAGATTGAGCAAATGCCCAAAGTAGTTATTGGTGAATTCTATACGAGTTTGTATTCTCAAGGAGCAAGTGTTTCAATTATCATTTAGAAGTAACTGCTGTACTCAAGGTCAACTCAAAACACCATATTGGAAAAAGAGAATAGGACAAAATCGATTAAACAGGAATACACACAATCAACAACCATGAATTGCTGCATTCTCTACGCAAATTTTTTTATGATATCAAATGTGCATACCCAGTATCACCTTCAAGCATGTTTAGAGAACATCGCAATGGAAAGACCAGTACCCTCGAGTGCGGACAACTTTGTAGTTCAGAACATTCTAGTGATACCAGTTACCAACCAAACGTAAGCTGAATGAAATAACATCATAATGAGGAAACATAAGCTTAAATACGATTTACCATCAGGAAAAAGAAACGAAATTCTTTTGCATATTCTTGCATCTCTCTTGCCTAAACTGTCATCCTAACAAAAAAAAAGGGAAAATAAAATTCTAAAACCTCTAACCAACCAGAAAGAGAAAGCTTGAAGAAAGTTTGTTGATAGAGTAAAACCTTAAATGATGTCATGTATTGAGCATAGAGTTCATACAGGTGGTCCAACACAAAGCCATGATCAAACTCAACTTGAGTAATAAGTTTCTTGAGAAAATTCCTCAAGTAAGGAGCATGGAAATCACCCTGCATAATCAATCAAACAGAGCAATGCAAGAAATCATAAATTAAATTAAAAAAAAAAAAACAGAGAGAGAGAGAGAGAGAAAAATTACAGGTGTGGAAAGACAATGGTTCCAGATGAATTTTTGAACTTGCTCGGTAATTGAGCCTCCACCACACGCCCTGCATATTTATATAAATGTCAATGTCAATGTCACATCGTCTAAACCGAAACTAGAAAGAAGAAGCTAACAGAAACCTGGCATGGGAAATCAAGCACTCGGAAGGTTCCATAGCTAGAACCGCAGAAACCAGATGCTGGCAACAAGGGAGAGAGGGATCTAACTCTTGCTCCATTGTCACTTCCACAGCACTGCACCTATCGCCGCAGCACAAAACACGGGATTTTCGAACACGTACACGGGCCTTCTACATTTGGGGCTTCTATCCCAATAGTTGGAATCATTAGGCTCCGGATCATTTCGTGGCCCAATTATGAATTCTTGACATGGACTCTATCTTGTCCACTGTTAGACTGGGCCAGGCCCGATACTTTTGGAAGAAATAGTTTTAGCTGGGCCCCTGTCGAAAAAATCTCGGCCTGGTTACCAGACCAAAAAAAAAAAGAACTGTTGACATTTGACAAAAAAAAAAAAAAACAAATGTTGACAAAAATAAAACACAGAAATTCACACGACGCAAAGTCAACGTCAAAGCTTCATGCTCAGAACTTCTTCTCTCTCCCTCTCTCCAACCCAAGTTAAATTGTCTTGGTTGCGCATGCCCATTAATTGCAGCCTCAGAAAGCAACAATCTTTATCCGTTAAACCAATCATTGCCTTCACGAACTAGCTCGTTGATCCATGCTCAGAAGGGGGTAGCAGCTTTGACCATTTCACTGGCACTAACTATCTGAATTTGATACACTAAGCGAGAGGCCACCCAAAGACTCTTACTTGGTTGACGATGCAGGAGTGCTGAGTATGGTGAGAAAGTCGGATTGAAGCAGTTACTTATCTGATTTGGAGGAGGTAGAACTTCCACATCAATTTTATTACAGTGAGAAAACTCACGGTTAGTTACGCAACTCATGTTTAATTGAATAAACTGTTTGTTCACGGAAAGTGAAAGCTAACTATTTGATACCTCCTACTATTGCTTTTATTTCTGTTTTATCACCTGACGTTTCAAACTACTTCCAAAACTGGTTTAAGAATTTCTCACTTACAAATGTGGATAGCGAGGATTCCTCATTGTATGAAGATCTCGTAACATTGCTTTGAGTATAATGAGTATGTAAGGCTTTAAAGTACAAATGCAAGTTCTTTTTGAGAGGGATTTTCAACTTTTTGAGTCCTATGCTGAAAAACCTGAATAGGCTATTTTATGTTAATAATATGCTTTTGAAATTATTATAAGTTGTTAACTGATGTTTCAGTTTATTAGATTCAATAAGTTATTTTAATATTTTAAAAATAATTTAGTTTGTTATTAAATTTTTTATTTACATAATTAATTTAATTTTTTTTTACTTATTATAAATGTATTGTTGCCATTGAATAAAAGTTAAATTCTTTCTCTATTCATTCCTTTTATCATTTTGGGCATTATTTTATTTTATTTTATTTTACTTTTTTACTATAAAACTAACAAAGTGATATCAGAGCTCTCTTCTTACGAACTTCTGTGAAAATAAATGCTGAATTAAATTTCTCACAAGTTGCTCCTCCTCTCTTTGATGAAGAAAATTATGATTTTTAGGCTATCAAAATGGAGACCTACTTAGATACTTTAGATCTTTGGGAAGTTGTTGAAGAGGATTATGAAGTTCTTCAACTACCTGCGACACAATCTTATGATAGCCTAAATAAAAAGTCACAATGAGAGAAAAATACGAAAGGTAAAGGCAAAATTATATCTTTTTGCTGGTGTTTCAACAAATATTTTCATTGAGATTATGACTTTAAAAACAGCAAAGACAATTTGAGATTATCTTAAGAAAGAATATGCTGGGAATAAAAGAAATCGAGGCATACAAGTATTGAATTTGATGAGAGAATTTGTACTCCAAAGAATGAAAGAGTCTGGGACAATCAAAATATACTCAAATAGATTGCTTGACATAGCTAATAAAGTAAGATTATTAGGTACTGATTTTTCTGATTCTAGAATTGTAGAAAAGATTCTTGTCACCACTTTAGAGAATACTAAATACTTGTCCAAAATCAGACTAGTAGAACTCTTAAATATCTTACAAGCACAAGAGCAAAGACGTGCAATAAGATAAGAAGATGCTATTGAGAGAGCCTTAAATATATCATACATTATGAAAGTGAAAGATACAACAAGAAAAAATCTTATTTTTCATGTTATCGTTGTGGAAAAAATGGTCATCCTCCTTCAAATGTTGAAGAAGGCCAAATGCACAATGCAATAAATGCAACCAAATGAGACATGAAGAAGTTATATGCAAAAATTAAAACCAACACTAAGATGAAAAGACTAATATTGCTCATCACGAGGAAGAAAATTGTTTATTTGTTTCTACTTGCCTCTCAGACTTTAAATCAAATGAAAGTTAACTAATTGATAGTGATAACACTAAACACATGACTAATAACAAAAAACTCTTTAGAAATTTGATACTGACTAACATTACTAAAGTCAAAATAGATAATGGTGATTTTATCATAATCAAAGGAAAGGGAACAATTGCAATAACAAACTATTCAGATACGAAGTTAATTCATAATATTTTTTTGTTCTTAAAATTGACCAAAATTTTTTAAGTGTTGGTCAACTGCTTGAAGAGAGATTCAAAGTTATTTTTGAAGATAAATATTGTTTGATTAAAGATGAAGTTGGTCAAGATATTTTCAAAGGAAAAATGAAAAAAAATTTACTCTAAATCTATCAAAGGACGAGCAAACAACTTTCTCATGCAAAGAAATTAGCATAATATTTCATCATAATACCTTGAGTGCTGAAAGTAAGTTTTTTAGTTTCATCCATAATGCAAATGAAAGACATTCCAAGGTTACAAAGAGAGTGATTAAATATTTCAAAGACACTTGTAACTCAAACATCAACTTCAAGAGAAGTGAAAAATTCAAGTTGATTGATTTATCTAAAAGTGATCTAAATGACTCAGTTAATTACTTTTCTTTTCTATGACAAAAGAAGATTTTATTTGATTCTAATTTGAAGCAGAAAGAGAATACAAAATTCTTGTTGACAATAAATACACTTTCCATTAACAAATTTAAACTGTAGAAAGATAGAATTTGCAATTCAAAATATAAGGAGGAGTATTAACAATATGCTTTTAAAACTGTTACTAATTGTTTTATATTATTTCAGTTTATTAAATTAATATCATAGTTAATAAGTCATTTTGATATTTTATGAATAATTTAGTTTGTTATCAAATCTTTCAGTTACCTAATTAGTTTAAGTTTCTTTGACTTATTATAAATACATTGTTGATATTAAATAAAAGTTGAATTCTTTCTACATTCATTATTTTCACCATTCTGTGCATTTCTTTTTCTTTATTTTATTTTACTTTTTTACCATAAAACCAACACTTAAGATATGAGAAAATGAGCACCATTTACCATTATAAGTTCAAAACTGCATGTAATAGAAGCTAGTCATATATGACTGCCCTCCTCTAATTTCATCTTCTTTAGCTTAGCGGTGTTTGCATTCTTGGAAATCAATATTAATTGTTGAAGTCATTTTAAGGGGTATAAAGCTATCAATAGAAAGCAGCTGCAATTGTAGTTATTTTTTTAATGGGTATAAAACTACCTTTATCCTGATCTAAAGTATCTGATTCGTACATGTATTCTAGCTATGGATGAGAAGCACAACGAAGCTATTAGCACCGGGGAAGAGACAGAAGTGAAACGTGTAGACAATTCACTCCTGTTGTTGGAGGCTCATTGACTTCGTTGTTCCAAGGGCATAATATAATGCTTATGTGTCCAGAAAGTGAGAAAATAGTTATGTAATTGAACCTGCCTTAGAAATTGTTACCCCTCTGAATGTTAATATATTTTGTGCAGTTAGAACCATGCTCGTATTAGAATTGAGCTTAAGAAAGTTGTAGAATAAGATCAGAGTTTTGACTTGTAACTCCAAAGTAAATGCATTGGACTATCATGTAAATTTTTGTGTACTCGTGCTGCCTACATTCATTTCAGAGGGTCGTGTAATGACCATACTGCATTATTATGAAACACTTGCCGTGTATAAAACTGAAAATAAACGAGCGCGCACACACACACAAAGTAAAACATGTATCAGATGTGCTTATCCCAAAAGGCCTTTCGGATAGTGTACGCCTTATAATGAACCATGAAGCCTGAATGTGTTAAATTACAAATCCTTGATCATTATCACACAAAACATGTTACGAAGTCCATTGGACCAATCTTCAAGACGTATTCATTAGAAAGAGCTTGACTGACACTCAAATTTACAATCAGCTATTGCTTTCATGATACCAGCGCATAAAGAATCAAATAATTATATCAATAAACATATTGGGTAATTTAGAACTTGAGCTTAAGTAGGAAGGGCATTTTGTCTGAGAAAGGAGGGTCAGAGTACTTCCCGGTGAGAATTTGTGATGCAACATACTGATTTGCAGTCTCAGTGTAATGAATCCCGTCCCAGTTTATATACTCGCTGCTATCATTACAAGCTTTTACTGTAATAGTGGTTCCATTCAAGATCTTTGTTTGCCCACAAGTAACTCGACTGTCATAGTTCAGTGGTGGACCTCCGTATCCACAACAAGCCATAAGAGGCTGTTCAAACCCTGCAAACATGTACTCACAAATTAATTGCTTTTGGCCCCTCAAACACTAAAATAAATTATAGAATAGAAATTAACTTGGTTAATATGGCTGGCTGATACCGAGTCCTTCGTTACGCTTATAGTATTTCTAGTTAGTGTAGAAGTTAATATTATATAAATAGAAAATTTTGCCGCAGTCATTTATTGGATTAAATGAGACAAGGGTAGGAAGCTCCTAACGAAACAAAGCAATAAAGTTCAATAAAATGAATTTCCAGGAATAGTTATACTAGGAGCAAAGGAAATAAATCTTGGATATTTTTGCATTGTTAGATCATGTCTAGATGATGAATAAAAGTTGCATCTATAAAACGGCTGTTGCATTACCTACAGCACAAGGGATGACAAAACTCGTGGAAACGTTAATTATCCAAAGGCGAGAGATACTAACCGTATCTAGAATAGTTTGCAATGAGGTTTGATTTTATGGTGAAGATATCAACGTATGTGACATTTGCATCTGGATATTGGCCCTGCAATTTAGTACAGAGAGCATGGAGCTGTAGGTTAAAGGTTTTAGCAGCTTGGTTATGTGAACTAACACATCCTAGTTCGTCAAGCTTTGATGGATCAGTTCCAAATTTGGCAATATTCTGAGGCAAGCATCCGAGAGGGCCCGTATTGTGTATCCAGAAATATCTAGCCCCTTGATCATAGAGATTCTATCAAACAAACAACAAAGAGTGAGAACTCGTTAATGTTAATCTCGGTAAAACTGTGTACATAACCTGATAACCACCTATGAAAAGTAAACCCCTACGTTAGCCGTTAAGATCGTAGGGGACATGTTACTTTTTGATATTTTGAACAATCCTTATTAGTCCTTTTTTTTTATAAAACGATAATTACTTCAATCTTATTTTAATATAAAATGATAATAAGTAAAATATAAACAGATTTAAATAAATGACTTTCTTTTAAAATCAGAGATGTTTAAGGTTTTTAAAAATCCTAAGAACAAAATATTTGACACATTCAGGAATATAATTGTAAAAAATTAAAAATAAAAGCAGATGATTTGACACCTACCTTTATTCCATTTTCAAATTCTATAAGAATTGTCGGAATTGATGCAAGTATTTGGTCCAATGTTTTTGAATAGAATGCTCCAGCAAGATCATTCTGGCCAATGTCAAACATGTACAATCCCTTCTGGAAACTATCTTCGTTTGGGACAAACTTATCCAATTTCCTGCCTAAAACAATGTGATACAGTGATGACTTTTCTTAACATGAATGAATGAGAGAGACAACAAACTTTGTTGCGCTGCTGAAGTAGTAATAAAATCAAGTCAATTTTCTAAACATTAGATGAATTTAGCTAAGACCTTTAGCAATCAATTCAAGGGCTCGAGCTTTGAATCTCTGGAACTGAGACACCTGAATCCCAAGGGAGAAGGGGCAGATGGATGATGCTGTGGCAGGAAGGATTGTTGCAGCTGCTGCTGCAAAGTTGCATCCTTTCCTAAAATTTGGCAAACCCATTGAATCCAAATAGGCGTTTAGGAAGGGCAAGTCCATAGCATCCACTGCAATCAACAAACAAGAACATATGTAGCTATCATAGGAAACAGGAAAAGCAAAGAAAATGCAGATTTTGTTTACACGGGAGAGGGAGCAATAATCATCTACTTGGAAAGAGGAATGTGAAGGAAGAAATAGATTATGTGGGCATTAACAAAAAGAGGTTATGAAGGCCTATTACTAAGAAAATCGATGATGAGACGTCCATCAGAGTATCTCCCTGATGGTACTTGGAAGTAAGTCTGTCCATTTGGTGGGTAAAGACTCTCAATACCAGCGGCAATAAGGGCACCGGTATCAGAATTTGAATCACCGAAGTTGAAAACTGCTGGAAAATCCAGGTGAATAGATTTGGCACTAGGTAAGAAGATGGCAATGAGGATGAGGATCTGAAGGATACATGTGTTGGTAGCCATGGCTATTGACTATTACTTTACGGAGGGGTTTTTTATGCCTTCCAGTTTGCTTGTGTTTCAAACATCTGCTACCCAGATGTTTGTTTGTTTGGTGCGTCAAACTTGTAGTGGAAGTAAGTGTTTGAATCACTAAATTCCAAGTAGTTGGCGAAAATATGGGTATATATATATATATATAATCGACAAATTGGGAAAGTAAAGACATTCAAAGATAGTTTGAAGTAACGTATTTCTTATAATAAGCTCTCTTTGAATCAAGAATTAATAATAATTGGATACACTTTAGATTTCTATTTTAATTTTTATATATTTTTTACTTTGACATAATCAAATTAATATTTTTACATTGTTGTTATGTATTTATATATTAGTAAAACAATTGTCTTTTCACATAATCATCAGTATCAAATTTTCTCAATGATGTAATAACATGTTAATGGATAACAATGTAAAATAAATAAATAAGTTAAACCAAAATAAATTTTAGTAAGACAAAAGTCAAACCATTTTGATAAGTTGAAGTGGAAGGAATGAAGGAGAAAGTTGAAGTGGAAGCAAAATGATAAGTTGAATCAATCCCCTAAAATTTTGATGCTACATGTCAAGAGGCTAGTTAGTTCGATGAAAAAAAGTAGTAGAAATAACTTATCACCTACCAGTTAGCTTAATTCTTTTTGGCATATAATATTGTAATCATTTTGACTACAAAAACTTCTTTAAATATTTATTTGTATTTATATTTGGGCTTAAAGGTTTGCAGAGTTGTGATTATTGCAGTAACTATAAACAATGTATTCAAGAGAATTAAAATTACTTAGGAAATCCACTATGAGACGGCCGTCGCAGAACCTCCCAGATGAAGTTTTGAAGTAATCCTGTCCATTAGGTGGGGCAAGCTGAATGCCCAACCCAGCAACAAGTTCACCTGTGTCCGAGTTTGAATCACCGAAGTTGAAAACTGCTGGGTAATTGAACTCGGCAGAATTTGCCATAACCAAACAGATGATAAATAAGAAAACTTGAAAAAGTACTTTATTGGAAGCCATGGCACGTAGTTTTCACTTTGTGCAATGGAACCGACTACCAACCAGATTGAGCAGATACCAATTTCACTTTGTAAACACTGTCATAATGGAAAACGATTCGGTGCCTTATATAAATGCACACCCAATTGGTTGCTTCAAATTGCTAACGTGAAGTCCTAACCAAAAAACAACAAAACTCTTGCTTTAGATAGTGGAAAAGTAACTGATAGCCAAAAGGAAAAGGTTCCTTGTAGTTTGAATTACCATGTTATCCTTATTAAACATTTAAGAGAATCAATCACTTGACTGATTAACATTAACTGATCAACGCAAGCCAGTGAGTGCCATGATATACGTAAACTCGTATTATAATTTGCCCCGGAGATTTGCGCCAAAAAAACTTCTGCCCACGCTCGGAGAACAACAAAAATGGGTTGCGGAAACTTGAGAATGCGCTAATAGAGATGTTTTGTTCTTGACGGATTGCGCCTTTGTGTCTTGACTTGCATCTCCACGGGATTGTATTGCGTCACCTCACAATTTTTTGGTGCCCACCGTGAACGTTTACACTCCACAATAAGTATTCCTTGGAAAGATTTCTGAAGGGTGACATTCGGAGATCTGATAAGGGCTTATGGCAATCGTTTCCCTTGTGTTTAAATAATTCTGCTTTGTATAATACGGTGCCTCTATCCCTTGCAATCAAAAATCATTGAAGTGAATGGTAGGTTGCAACATAAATGGTAATGTGGATTTACTCATTCATCAGCAGATCAGCTTAACGTCATTGATGTAGGAAATCCAGACCCAGATTAAGTTGCATATCAAGGCATCAATGCACAAATCACAGCCACAGAATCCAGTGCCTCTTACCCTGCACAGCTTATTATATTCTTTTAACCCCTTTTCAGGCTGCAGTTACATTGTCTGAAACACTCACTAAAAAGGTTATCTAAAATTGAAGACAACAAAAGCTGTCCCTCAAAAAACGTTTTCCTTTCGACAGACAAACACTTGAAGACCTATTAGAGAAGTTCAAATGGTCCGTGTCATGCTGTGAGCCTATCGAACTTTCTTTTTTTCTTGCTACTCAGTGAATTATGGAACTATTGTGCCAAACCGACGACATTGTAGTCATCAAGAAATTAAATCATGACCTGGTTGAATCCGTTGGAGAGAGATTTCAGAAGAAAGCCACCTATACCAGATTATTCTTATAAAACAATTGTTGGGTTAGAAACAGACTCATAAACTATTCTTTTGATTGTGGTCAATGACATGAGTGCACGAAGTTCCAGAATCGGCCTTCTCATCATGTATGCCTCCAAAATGTCCAACAATAAGTCAATCAGCATGAGGCATATTTATTATTTTATCCATTGTAACCATATAACGGACCATTACACCTTTGATAGTATTTAAAGGTTCGCAAGGCATGATCTGCGGAGAACAGATAAATTCATCGTCTTGGGGAAGAAATGTGACCCAACCAGCGAAAGAAAAAAATCACTATACCAGAAATCATATTTTGAAATATCGAACTATTCTCTGCTTCCTTGTAGAACAGAGATTTTGTGGAGGCATCAACTTTGGCCCTGAGAATGATGTTCTCCCTTTTAAGCTGTAAAATTACATGTGCAACAAAATAAACATTTAAGTTCACTTAGTGATATAATCGGAGAAATAATGCAAGCATTGTAAGAAATGACAATCTCCAAGGCTCTAACTGGCACTAAACAGAGTAAAAAGTTCTATAGAGGTGGGCTAGTGATGTCTGATGAAAGTAAAAATTGGGTAGTTTATAGGAGAGAATAAATTTTAATCTCATAACCGAAAAGAACCTAAAAGGTTTCATGGCGACTAGACAGTATTATCTACAGCAAGATTCTACCACATTTTTCCCGTACCTCATCAACAGTAAGTATGAGCTTTTCCACGGCTTCTTGTAGTGAGGATATTGTCTGTAAGGCAAGATCTTCTATTTCTGACTCCTCAACTGATGGAGGATCAAAGAGAATGCCCTCTTGTATGAACAATTCCTCTAGTAATTTCACATCTTGAACATTTAATCTTTCCCTCAGCTGTATTAACAGAAGTCTTTTTACGAATTCTAATTACAAAGACATACAAAAAATTCCACAACAATATTCTCACCTTGTTTAAAATTCTAGCACTTGAGTAGTCACTGGGTGGAGAAGCAGCCCCAGAACCTATGTCGCATTTTTCTTCACTGCAATTGACACGAGGTGACGCCTTTATATGTTTGGCCCTGCTAGCAATTCAATATCCCAAAATGAAACAAGGATCGTCAGTAGTACAGATGTATAGAAGGTGAATTATTTGACTTATGCTAATTAAATATTTATTTAAATGTACATTGCCATTAGTTTACTTCATAAAAATATTTACGTCACAAATAACATTAACTAAATATATAACCATAATTTAATAAAATGCGTTATGTATATGCATATAGAAATATTATTAAAACAAAATTATACACAAGTTGTGTAAAATAAGCGTAAATATGAAAAAGAAGGCAAAAAAAATGACATGCCTTGCACCAAACCGAAGAGTGGACAGACTCTCGGATGCATTAAAAGCGCTGGGGGAGCAACAACAGAGTAATGCAGTTCTAGCATTGCCTCCCTGTGAATAAGAAATACCACGTCGGCGGTACTGATTCAATGAACTACGAGTACGATTTTATGGATTAGATGAGCAGAGAAACTAACAAGTGCATCCTGAAGAATTCGAGTGAGCTTGGAATCGCGATAAGGGATATGACTTGCTTTTCCTTGCAAACCACATGTAAGAGAATTTATTACATTCCCAAGAGCAGACAGGGATCTGTTAATGGTCTTAGCTTCTTCTAGAACTCTTCCCTCAGCACCTGTTTTCTCCACTTTCTCTGACCCAGCCAAGTCCACTAGAATTAGTTTTCCGAACCTCATCCTGTTCAGAGTCTCAGTGTTTAAGAATGATTTACAACCACAACCACAGTGATGTAAGAGGAAGTCTGACCTTTTTTCTCCGATGTGTTCTTGCTGAATTGTGAATATATAAATGCAATGACTTCTGCTGCTGGCCACGTTCATTTCTACATGTTTTGTAAAGGATGGTTGCAGAACAAAAGTGCCTTCCTACCAGGCTACCACTATTCCTCCCTCCAAGAAACAGGTAATTTACCCTAATCTAATCTGTAATATTACTACGAATTAAAAATGAGTAAATTTTCGAATTGCTCTAGATTGAACGAGTAATATATTAAAGGTTTTATTAGTCTTTTAATATTAAAATGATATTTAAATTTATTTGTTCAAGTATAAAAATATAATGAAATTAAAATTAAAATGAATGATTTTTAGAAAGTTAGATCTTAACAAAAGATTTTTAAAATTTCAAAAACTAAAGTGCATGTCAGAATTTATTCGAGGATTTACTCAAATGAAAACACTGAATGATAGACTAAAGGAATCAAAGCAGGATACGGGTCTCCCCAACTGCCCGGTTAGCTATCCCCCTCTACATATTTGAGATCAGAATTAGAAGCCAAAATACATTGTAAAGTCAAACCGAAATATGCTATACAACTTGCTTCTTTCTTACAGATAGGCTTTGCAATGCTTCAGCAGGGTCCTGTACAGTGATCTGAAGGAAAAGTTCAAAGGGGGGTCCCATCAGTTGTATATGACATAATAGAAATCACCAGTTCTTTTCCTGGTAAAATGAATTATCTTGCAGTGCATATAAGGAAGGAAAAGTTTTAAAGTTGCATATAAAAATAATAAACGATTCCAATCTACCCTACTTGCTGAATCGGCTCATGTAGTGCCTCGCCTGCCGCTCAAATGTTGCTACCTGAAGAAGCGAGGCCTTAACTACTTCAACTTAAAGCACACGAGTATGTGCATAATCGTAATTCGACACCCACTGTTGGATCAATCACTTGCAACAACGCAAGAAGTTATAGCTAATGGAAAGGTTACAACTTTACTTTCTAAAAGTTTTTGAGAACATCAAGCTTTTTTTCATTTTTCGGTGGTCCGTGAGAACATCA